TATATATATATATATATATTAACATCTCTCCGAGTTGAAATGGCAAATGTTGCAAGTATTAACATTACCAATTGTGGTTTCTAGATGCACTTAGCATTGACGCAAGTAGCTGTCTACGTCAAAGGGCAGATAGCACAAATGCAGTTAAGATATAGCAAGAGTTGAGTAAATACTTCGAGAGGATGGCAATCAAGTTTATCATAGTACATCTAATTCAATAGAATCAACAATCTGCGCGAACGGTAGAATCAAAAAACATCATTAAATCAAAATTAGTAGAAATAAGTGGGTAATAAAATTTATAGAATATGAAAATATTTTGAGCTATATTTCTAATCAAATTTTAAATAGTATACCCAATTTAACTTTCAAACCTCATGTATCTTAACGTGTCATATAAATAGCAATGGTCAGCAGTATAGTAAATTATAAATTGATTGATTATTAAATATTTAATTATCACTACATCATATATGAAGAAAAAGAGAGGAGAAAAGAGAAAGAGAGAGAGAGAGAGAGAATTTCTATATATATAGACACACACACACACACACACACACACACACACACACACACACACACACACACACGCAATTTCCATTAAATTCCATTTCAATTCCATTTCAATTCCATTTCAATTAAATTTTACGGCATTTTATCAGCATTTTGTTTGTGTATACGTAAAAATTATAATTAATCAATAAATAGTTTTTGGAACTTTATACATGGCTTAATTACATTACTAAATTTTAAAAGTAAATGTATTGCTTTAAAATAAAATTTATATTACTTTAAAATATAAAATTTATTAATTGTCTGAGTAGGTATGCACATAGCCTGAATAATATAATGAAACACATGGATCTCTGTTATAACATCTTATTTCAAAATCAAGCTTAAAATCAATGTTAAAGAAACTAATAAATATTAGACGAAATTGTAATCAATTGACGATTGAAATTGTTAATGTCTAAAACTTCAAGTTGCTAGTATCAAAATTCAAGAAAAACTAGTTTAATAATAAAGTAATAACTACACATCAAGCAAAAGTTGTAATTTAAAAATTTAAATTACACCACACATAACTTCTATTAATTTTTAAAATAAAAATATTATTTAAGTATCAGATTACAATGTGAAATATTTTTGTAAATAGAATTTTAAATAGCATTTTAAATAGTATAATAAGGATCAATATTTAAAATTCTGCAAATTAAAATTCTCAGTTTCTATCTATTTAAAAATTTTAGCTTGTGTTCGAGAGAACTCGAATTCTATTTTTGTATACTGAGTGAAAGCTATTATATAATGTCGTGACCAAAGCAGTAAACTCAACTGGCATTTTGAATTGTTATCATAACAATTTAATTATAACAAACAATAAGATTTCATACTGCTTTTCACACATAAATCTCATAGTTCGTCATCAAAGGAATTTGTGTAATTAGAATCAAATAAACAAAATTCGATAAAAAGAAACTAGAAAGCGTAGTTCTGTATTACGGGTTCTATATATATATTCTATATATATATATATATATATATATATATATATGTATTATGCGGATGTATTATTTTTTGTTACTTATTTTCCATTTAATTTTCTGTAAAATATTTTGATGCATAAAATCATATTTTATAGAGCTCATATTTGTTGAAATATTGATCAATATTTAAAATAATGCAAATGTGCTGCTCAGTGTCACTGTAAGATTCAAACAAACGCAGAATATAATATTTATATAATTGTGCATAACTGTTACATAACTTATATAATAACTGTTATATATTTGTTATATTCTATGTTTGCTGAGATATTTTATGAAAATCTGACTTCTCGTTTTATCCGCATGACCAACACGTTCCATCGTAGCTAATAAGTCTTCCTGCAATATCAGATATTGATATCAGAATTTGCCCATATTTATTTGCTTATCATTCAAAATATATTATAATTTAACAAAATAATTTTATTAAAAATAAATCTAAAGTTTAAATAAATGTAATGTTCGATATTATTATTACATTAATTTTATATACATATTTATATACATATGTATATAGATACGCTAAACAAATAAAAGAAATTTATCAAATTCATAAATACAAATTTTTTTAATGTTCGCGCAAATTAGTTTAAACAATACTGATGTTGAAATTACAATTTTATAAGTACAAAAGTTTTAAACAAATACAGATAAGCATATAAGCAAAATTATTATCTAATGTTTAACTACAAAACTATATTGAAACATACTTTCGTTCTACAATAAGAACTTTTCCATTCAAAAAATTCAAAAAATTATTAAGTTTAATTGTTGCATACATTTCATGTAAAATAAATTTTTTATGCATTTTACATATCATATCTAACAACAATTAAAAATATTTACTTATACATATAATTGCAAGTGAATTGATTTACCTTTTATGATTTGCAGTCAAATATCAAATAAATATATCATATTTCAAATATCAATTAAATATATCATATTTCATCCAATAAAATTGGATTTCCTGCTATAATAGTTACGTATATAATAGCATATTTCAATAAATCTGTACAAATATTTTTAAATTCCTTTATTGACAATAAAAAGTTGTTCGATAAATCTCTGCAAATATTGACTTCTTATTTTTGTTTAAACCATTTTTGTTTAGGTATATTAGATATATTGTTGTATGTGGTATTAGATACTTGTGTATGTGTGTGAGCGCGCGCGCGCGCGCGCGCGCGTGTGTGTGTGTGTGTGTGTGTTTATACTATTATTTTAAAATACACGAAATTTTAAACTTTTTACAACTTTACTTTTTATTCCATAGAAAATTACTAAGCAAAAAGCACAAAAAAACAAAATATCGACAGAATAGCAACAGATTTAATCAAAACATATCAACAGACTGCAGATATCTGCGCCCACAGTTTATTCTTTCCATGAATGCATTGCCGCATATTATGCACATCAAACGCGCCTCGATAGAATATGTTTTGTTTCACACATGATAATGTGCATGATGTATCATTTTATGTGTCACCTTGTTGTTCACCGAATATTAAAAAAGATAAAATGCTAAACATCACGCGTGAAATGGAACACATACATAGATTACTCCAATCAAACGCATACTTTTTTTCCAATACGTTATTTTCTAATACAAGCACGTAACACACGACAACACGTGCATTAGAATTAGGGTTTGTGTTCTGTCGACAGAATTTATTCACATAATCAGATAATAGATTAGCTTCAGAAATCAAGCAAGATCAATTGATATAATCTAATCTAATAACAAATAGTAATAAAATTAGTGACAGAAAACGTATATCCATATGTCCCTCAAATTTTGAAAAAATTAATTTTCTGTAACTCATCGTTTTAGAAATTGGACTCAGGTAGTTAGTATCTAAAAAGATACAAAAGGAAATGACTTGTTTTGATGTTTTTTTTTCGGATAGTGCTATTTGTTTAAATAAATTAAAATTTTCTAGATAAATAAAAAATGAATGCTCTACATCAAAGGATTAAAACATGAATACGTAGGAAGAAATAAATAATATCGCTACATCGTGTAATTAACTTTTTCTATTGTCACTTTTAGAAAAGGAATGGCGAAGTAGCTAGTTATGAAAATTAACCACAAAATTAGTTACTAGTAAAAATTAGTCGTGACGTGAAAAAAGTTCGTGGCGTTACAAAGTTCGTCCTGTTACATCTAACGGGAAAAACGCCACGAACTTTTTCCCACACCTAATATTTCTCGTTATATCTTCGAAGGGAATATTTAATTTACCATTTTGGTTCGCGAATTGGTTGGATTATGAAGAAGAGACATCAGTTTCAAAATACAAAAGTAATACTGTGCAATAATATATTTTATATTGTGTAACCTAAAGAAGATTTGCAAATCCTAGAATCTAAGGAAAGATAGAAGAATGATAAAATATAATAATCTTACGGAGAAAAATGTCTGGATTAGCTAGAATTCTGATTGAAATAGATGAGTCAGAATTTTCTGATTAAATCTATTAGAATTATAGTTGTGTGATAACAGAAATTCTAATTGATATAATAACTGATTGATAACCAAAACTTTCACAGACATTTTTCTCATCTTCAATTCCGAATTCATTTGTGGAAAAGAACTATGTCGATAGTTCAATACATACATGTAATAGAAGTTTTCACACATCATCAACACAATTTTAAAATTAAAATTTTGCTTGTAACAATTTTTAATAATAATGATCCGTCATACATGTTAGCTTTATTTTTTGAGTAAACTAAAGTTTCTTAATAAATTGAAAATTTTATAACAGTAGAGAAATTTGCGAATTGGCGAAGCGTAAACCGAATTCTGTCTTTTGTTTACCTAATATGCTCGATGGAATAATGGTATCTAAGTATCTTTCCGCCTTGTGCTGATAACAGGCAAATGCTATTCTATTAAATGATCTTCAGCAGTCTAAAATAGAAATCGTGTTAGATCCGTAAATAATGCTTTAGTAGTACAGGAGTGCGGCAG